TATGTTTTTTTCCTGGCTTATGCCTGTTTTGGCTTATTATGTGTTCGGTTTTTTAGCTGAAAAATATGTCTCTGGGCCTCAGTGTGGAACTAGTTTCTAGGGATGCATCTATACTGTAGTTTCTAGGGGTGCATCTATACATTAAGCCATGGCTTAATGCTGCGAATACCTGGGATTTGTAGTCTGGTGAGACACCAGTACTCTTTGGTAGAGAAAGCTTAATACCTTGGAAAATTACAACCCCAAGATGCCATAGCATTGACCCAAAACAGTTAAAGTGGTGTCAAAGTGCATCAATTCCATAGTGTAGCTACATTCCAGGTTATCCGGGAAATGGGTGATAGAACAGAAAAATGTGGTTTGTTTAGCTCAGATCCCAATATCCCTTTGAATTCATGTCCCTGGGCAAGCTTGTTTTATTTTATTTTAATCTCACTTTTATCCTGATTTAGGGACTTGATGCAGCACATTTAGTGAGATCATTTTGCTTTCTAAGAAATGAGCATTTTGGGACCATGGCAACCATTTTATAAGTCTATCCATGACACTCAAAATGCCAAATGAGACCACCAACTTCATGCCCCAAGGGTAAACGAAGAGCCTGGACAAGGAACCTCATCATAAAGGAGTATGGGGCAGGCAGTGTCTTGTCAGTCGATTTCATGTATATACTTTTGGTTTCTCATGGTTTAAGATGATTTTATTGAAATGTCATAATCAGATTGATTATCTCTCATCTGAAAATCTGAAACACTCCAAAATCCAAAATTGTCTACTTTGGTGACTGAGAAAGTGACACCTTTGCTGCAGTTCGAAGCCATGGGTCGGGCTGAGCTCCCACTGTTAGCCCTAGCTTCTGCCAACCTGGCAGTTTGAAACATACAAATGTGAGTAGATCAATAGGTACTGCTTTAGCAGGAGAGTAATAAAGGTGCCCATGCAACCATGCCAGCAATGCAACCAGAGAGGTGTCTATGGAAAACAGGCTCCTCGGCTTGGAAATGGAAAAACAGCACCTTCACATGGCCAGAGTGAGCACCGTCTCCAGAAGCCGGAAATGAAAGAGGAAGCCTTTACCTTTGTTCTGTGTGTTTGTGTGTCATTGTTATTCTACTGTATTAAATGCATTGAATGTTTGCCTCTCTGTGTATGTTGTAATCCACTCTAAGTCCCCTCAGGGAGATAGAGTGGAATATAAATAAAATGTTATTTATTATTATTATTACTATTATTATTATTATTATTATTATTTCTGTTGGTTAAATGTACACATTTTTTTCAAGCAGAAATGGTTAGAAATATTGTGTATACAATTGCCTTCAGACTATATGCAGAATGTGTCTATAAAATATAAATGAATTTTGTGTTTAGGCATGGCTCCAGGATATCTCATTATGCATATATAAACATTCCAAAAATCCCAAATCCAAACACTTCTGGTCCTGGATGCTTAACTTGTATATGCTCCAGTCTTTCTTGAGATCTCAAGACTCATACAACCTATATGTACTCTTTTCTTTTGGTTTTTTAACCTGAAAATCCTGATGGCTCTAATAAGGAAAGCTAAAACAAGAGATTTCCCCATTTTTAAAGCCAAAGATTATTTCAAAATGATTTGCACAGCTTTCAACGCTTGCCTGAGCCAGTCTTTCACTAGGTCATCCACTTTAGTCGGTGGGAAGGAAAAGATCACTTGCTAGGGTCGAAAGGGGCAGTTACCATGACATTTGTGGCAACCGCTTCTCTGGCACGCTGCTTGCTTTGTGTTATAAACAGAATAAGAAAAACTGTTCTGTTGGTTTAATGGTCTCTATTTACACAAAAGCCCTAATTGGCCAGTACCACAAATGCAGGGTAACTGGTTGGGATGGGAGAATCAAGAACCTTTAATAGTTTCCCGGGACTGCATCTTCGCTTACCAAAATAATTGCTTCCCCAATGCTGTACAAGAGCATTCCCAGAGCCCGTTTGGTGTCCAGATGACTGGCTGAGCCAATAGCATATTCAGACCACTGCCATCACGGTTTTGCTGGCCAAAAGCAGCTTCCCATCAGAGCCGTGCCGACAGTGTTCTTTCTGATGGGTCACAAAAGGGCATTCAGCAATGTGACCAACAGAAGTGACGCTGCCAGTAAGACTCTGTGTCACAAAGGTGGGCCTATTAGATGTGCAGACACTGGTTTGGGCCAGATCCAGACAAATCCTGCTGTCCACACCTCAAAAATAACAGAATCACTCTGGAGTCAATTCAATCTCCCCTCATTTTGGATTAGCAGTTGGAAGGTTTCTTTGTGCTGTAGATATCAGGTGCATAGCAAGTGGATTTGCCATAGCATTTGCAAAGTATTTGCTTTATTTCGCCCATGTAGACTCAGCCTAAGACAAGTATGTTTGAGCAGAAATGGTGTTTGGGGGAAAAATCACCTTTTAACATTCTATCTTCTCACTTCCATTAATTTATTTATTGTGTCATCAGCAACCATACCATTGTATTACATTTCTAACAGAAATTTCTAACTTCCATTAATGTTGCCATGGCATAATATACCTACAGTAAAATGACAGAGAGGCAACCAGGTACACAATAGTATATATGAAGCCCTTGGTGGCACAGTGGGTTAAACCGCTGAGCTACTGAATGAAAGATTGGCTGTTTGAATCCTGGGAACAGGTTGAGCTCCTGCTGTTAGCCCCAACTTCTGCCAACATAGCAGTTTGAAAACATGCAAATGTGATTAGATCAACAGGTACCACTTCAGCAGAAAGGTAATGGCGCTCCATGCAGTCATGCCAGCCACATGACCTTGGAGGTGTCTATGGACAACGCCGGCTCTTCAGCTTAGAAATGAAGATGAGCACCACCCCCCAGAGTCGGACATAATTAGACTTACTGTCAAAGGGAAATCATTACCTTTACCTTTTACAGTAAAACTACAGAGAGGCAAGCAGGTGCACAGTGGTGTATACGAAACCTTGATTGTATTTCTTATATAGCATTGGTTGCACTGGGATACAGTTATAATAGGGGCAAAATATGAACATTACTTCCTAAAATAAGAATTCAGCCCTTCTCCTGTGACATTTTGCTTGGGTTCACAAGTTTCTCACATTGCAGAGAGAGATATTGTTGTATTTTCATCCCCTTGATACCTCTGCCTCCTCGCCCTTTTCTTTGGGTGCCTAAACACCACTTCTACTGCTAATTTGAAATGTTAAGGTACTGAAATATTAGAAATGTTGGGATGAAGAAAAATTTCACAGAGTAGGCAAAATTCCTGTTTGGAAGGGAAAGCAATACCCCCTCCATGAGTTATACTACTGAGTTTCATTGTTTATTATTGCTTACTTGAAAGCAAACTCTTTTGGACTAAGACATTACACACTTACAACACTATTATTCCACTTTAACTCCCATGGCAACATTCTACGGAATCCTCAAATTTGCGGTTTTGTGAGAAGTAAATAGATTTCACTTTTTAATTGAGAGATATCTGTGCTTACATAGTAAATTAAATATGCTGTATACGTCAGGGGATTATTATTTCATCTCCACCTGTCTCCTTTGTGATGGCAAATCAAATGGATAAATCTTAAAGAAAGTGGAGAAAAGGATTAGGTATAATGGGGGTAGGAAAATCTTTCGTCTAATTTCAAAACAGGGCATGGAGAAGCTTAAGGGGACCAGCAATCTCAAACATTGTACTTATCCTGTGGGATGAAGTCTCTAGAAACTCCAGAATTCCACAGGGTGTTACCAGGCCCATTAAAGTAGAACATAACCCCATAACAAGGTAGAATTGGCAAAGAGTGTTTATGCGTCACTGAACTGTTGGAGCATGTAACAAATCAGTTAGTGTGTGTGTGTGTGTGTGTGTGTGTGTGTGTCAACTGTAAAATAAGATACATAAAGCTGATTGGTTGTGCTATGCCCGGGGAGCTGGCTGAGCCTGTGACTTTTGATTACTGTTACATTTTTCAAGCTCGAGCTATACAGGTGCTTGCAGAGAGAATCAGAGAGAGACAAGTTTGGAGTGTGCTCTTGCTTCATGAGCTGCTGGAGGAAGATTCTCCACATGGACAAAAAACGACCATTTTAAATCTCTCATAAAAGGACATTATGTAAGTCGATGTACCAGCCACATGACTGTAAATATGTTGTTCTGAATTACGAAGAGTAAACTACTTGTTCTTTGTTGATCATCTACGTCAGTGTTTCTCAACCTGGGGGTCAGGACTCCTGGGGGGGGTCATGAGGGGGTGTCAGAGGGGTCGCCAAAAACCATTAGAAAACACAGTATTTTCTGTTGGTCATTGGGGTTCTCTGTGGGAAGTTTGGCCCAATTCTATCATTGGTGGAGCTCATATTGCTCTTTGATTGTAGGTGAACTATAAATCCCAGCAACTCTAACTCCCAATTGCCAAGGTCTATTTTCCCCAACTCCACTAGTGTTCATATTTGGGCATATTGAGTATTCATGCCAAGTTTGATCCAGATCCGTCATTGTTTGAGTCCACAGTGCTCTCTGGATATAGGTGAACTACAACTCCAAGACTCAAGTATATGCCCACCAAACCCAGTATTTTCTGTTGGTCATGGGAGTTCTGTGTGCCAAGTTTGGTTCAATTCCATCGCTGGTGGCGTTCAGAATGGAGTTCAGAATGGTTGGGGGTGAACTATAAATCCCAGCAACTACAAATCTCAAATGACAAAATCAGTCCTCCCAACTCCACCAGTATTCTAATTTGGGTGTATCGGGTTTTTGTGCCAAATTTGGTCCAGCGAATGAAAATACATCCTGCATATCAGATATTTACATTACAATTCATAACAGTAGCAAAATTACAGTTATGAAGTAACAATGAAAATAATTTTATGGTTGGGGGTCACCACAACATGAAGAACTGCATTAAGGAGTCGCAGCATTAGCAAGGCTGAGAAACACTGATCTACGTGGTATATTTCCTTTCTCTGACAAGGCAGTGTGTGGGCTGATCAAACGTGAAGTACACATGGTTTATTTTACATTACGCCACATAAATTACATATCCCAGGATTCTATAACATTGAGCCATGGCAAATGAGGTTGTATCAAACTATTAAGTCTACAGTGTAGATGTGGTCTAAGTTAGATGGCATAAAATGTGCAGGATCTGGCTACAGGTACAGAATTAAAGCTAAATAAAAATAATGAACAGGAAGAGAGAGAAACAGATGCTGGAGCCTCATATTTTCTTCTTTACCTACATCTGTATACAAAGTTCAGCAATTTGAAGCTTCCTGCAGTGGGAAAAGAGGATCACCTTGCCAATTTTCTCCTTCTATTCTCTGAGACCAGGCTACCAAATTACAAGAACCCTCTCAGGTTGAGCATACTGTGCAGAAAGAATGGCTGCACCTGCTCCTTAATTTGGTCAGAATAGGTTTGCATCCCCAGTGCCTCAAATGGATGCACACAGAATTTCCAAAGATTAATTTTAAACTATATATTAGGTAGACTTTGTTCTTACAGGAAAGGGTTTGGAACTGAGCAGTAACATGATCCCTGTGGTGACAAATGAATGCTGTTTTCAGCCCCTCCATTATTTTTGTTTAATGCAGCCGAAACTTGCATCCGCCTCACACTCCAGGTCAACATTAGATCAAATATCACAACTGAAAAAGAAAAAAGGTGAGAGCCCAAAAGATCACTGCATAAAGACACGAGAGAAAAAAATGTTAAGGCTTGGCCTTCACTTTATTGAAAAGAGAAGAAAAGTGATGGGGGGAGGGGCAAAACTGGAACGGGGGATCATGAACCAGCATGTTTCCACACTGGAACTCAAGGTGGGTCTGAAACGGATGCAAGCCCTATGCCCTCATCCCAGACAGTCCCCAGGAATTTAATGGGGCAAGCAGCAGACACAACTTTCTCCAACCATCCCAGAAAGAGAGGTCACCAAAATTGTAAAACCATATGTATCCAACAGGTGTAGAATAGATGCTTTCCTCATATTTCCAGATGTATTGCAGGTAGCAGAATTAGCTACTAGTTGACTCAAACAACTCATGAAGCTCAAAACAACTTAGAGTTGATTCAACAGCTGACTCAGTTTTGTTAGTCACCTTATTCCTCACTGTTATCCACTGAGCTGATTTTGATCCTGGAGCTGCTCCACTTCATGGATCCACCTATCTGGACTTTATGGTCTGCTCATTCGCACCTTGGCACCAACATTGCAGTTTGTCTTGTCTCACTCCACCACTGTCCTTATCTCAGCCCAAGGAAATTCCAAATTCCAGCAGCATATCTGTGCAACGGGAGGAAGGGAAGAGGGTCACTCACAAACTTTCTGGAAGGAGCAGCACTGACTCCATGGGGCTCAGTAGAGACTCCTTAGTCCTTCTCTGCATCTGATCCTAAGGATCACAGACAGAAGGTATTACTTGTTGCCCAGTGTGTGGAAACACAATGTGTCATGTGTTCTCCTGGCCCAGTCCCTCTGGGCAGGGAGTCTGGTTCTGGGGTTTCAAGAGATGCATGACAGGCTGCTGCTGGGAAGTGGTGTTATGTGGTTGTGGGTCTGCAGTGCCAGATCCTGCCGGCGTGTGGTGCAAGTGCTTCCTGTACTGCACAAACATGCAGATCTTGAGAGCAATGGCCAACACATTCTTCCCCATGAAGATACCGGAGACACGAATGTCCTTGAAGAACACCATGTTACTCCCTCGAATGAAGATGGTGGTGATGTTGATGGTGAGCATGCTCAGCATTGGGTAGAGCATCATGCGGTGTGGCACGATGCTGATCCCTTGCATGCTTATTTCGCAAAGTGAGACACATGGGAGGACCAAGAGCAAGATGTAGCAATAGAAGAACATCAGGCCTTCAGCCCAAATGGGAAGCCCTTTCTTCTGGGGCTCCCAGAGGTTAGCCTGGATATCCAGCACATCCAGCATATCAACAATGACCCAGAAGAGACGGTTACGAAGGTCCTCCTTCTTCTTGAACGTCCTGACATACTCCATGTGCTCTGTCGCCACCAGCAGCACATAGAGTGCTGGGATGCAGATGGACAGCAGAAGAGTCAATGCCTTGCGGGCCATGAGGTCCAAACTTTTACGGTCTGCCTTATAGTTCTGATAGATGAAGTAGACTTTGATCTCCAGGACAAAGACGTACAGGAACCAAAGGATCATGGCATAGCCTCGCTTGGCTGTCCTCACCTCGGCCCCAACCCAAACTGCCACATACCTCAGTATAATCAGGAAGCAGATGTCTCCAACCGAGACCATGATGCAAATGCCCAATTTCCTGGAGCCTTGGTTTTGTTCCACCAAATAGGCGTCCATCAGCACCATGCTACTCATGATGAGTGTGGTGGATAGGCAGACGTGGGGTTTGTTGATGGGCGGGGGAGGAACCATCCTGAAACAAGGAACACACACACATATTCATTAGTCAAACAGACTGAGATTCCTGTTCAAGCACAGCCCTGCACTATACTCACTCATGAAAGACTGTATGCTCTGCATCTCTTGTTGGTAACGCCTGCTCTCCATCTCTCAGCATCTAATGACCCTTCAACTGCACATTGCAAATTCATCTGTCCTTATTTCTCAGGGGAACTCTATGGATCTAGGATTCTGCACAGAGATTTTTTAAAATTCAAGCTAGCCTGAATGCACTAAATTTGCATTCCAAGCAATAATATATGATATGAAGGTAATAGCAGGGCTGCCTCTCTCTATAGGCAGAGAGATGGAAGCAGCAGACTGAGGATGTCACAAAAGAGCAGGAAACTGTCATTGTTTTACTGCCAGAGATGAGCAAGAGGTGCTTGTGGGATTTTCTGCCTTGTAGAAAAAAACAAAACCTAGATTGGTTTGGAGTATTATGCCTTTAAAGTGAATGAGGAGGAAATGTCATTTACAGCTTTGCCCCAAGCAGCCAAATTTATCCAGTTAGCCTTGGATAATACTACTTCAGGCATATCCAGACCAATTATAAAGACCAGAAAGCCTCAGATTTTGTTCCTATTTTATTTTGGAGATTCATACTAAATTTGTTTATCCCAGAATATTTTCTGTCAGCTTCCGGTACAATCAGAGACATTTTCTGTGGGTTCCTCAAGTTGGTTTATTTGACCCAAGATAAAATTGGTAAGAACAAGAACAAAATCTGGGACTTTTCAATCTATCTGGATGCAAATTTCATCCTGAACCCTTAGGGCAGCATTTCTCAACCTGGGGGTCGGGACTACTGGGGGCGTCACAGGGGGGGGGGGGTCAGAGGATTTGCCAAAGACCATCAGAAAACAGTATTTTCTGTTAGTCATGGGAGTTTTGTGTGCCAAGTTTGGTTCAATTCCATCGTTGGTGGAGTTCAGAATACTCTTTGATTGTAGGTGAACTATAAATCCCAGCAACTACAACTCCCAAATGTCAAGGTCTATTCCCCCAAACTCCACCAGTGTTTACATTTGGGCATATTGAATATTTGTGCCACATTTGGTTCAGATCCATACTTGTTTGAGTCCACAGTGTTCTCTGGATGTAGGTGAACTACAACTCCAAAACTCAGGGTCAGTGCCCACCAAACCCTTCCAGTATTTTCTGTTAGTCATGAGAGTTTTGTGTGCCAAGTTTGGTTCAATTCTATTGTTGGTGGGGTTCAGGATGCTCTTTGATTGTGGGTTAACTATAAATCCCAACAACTACAACTCCCAAATGGCAAAATCAATCCCACCCCCAACCCTAGTAATCAAATCTGGTACTAATGGGTATTTGTGCCAGATTTGGTCCAGTGAATGACAGTACATCCTGCTGCTGCATATCAGATATTTACATTACAATTCATACCAGCAGCAAAATTGCAGTTGTGAAGTAGCAATAAAAATAATGTTATGGTTGGGGGTCATCACAACATGAGGAACTGTATTAAGGGGTCGCGGCATTAGGAAGGTTGAGAAACACTGCCTTAGGGAGAAATGTAATCAATACAAAGCATAGAGATGGACTCTTAAGTCCTGCTGAATGAATGGAAGAGTTCCTTCTGTCAGAGGGACTCTAATCCATTGAAGGCTTTCACTGGAAAAGGAGATAGAAGAGATTATTTACACCAATATTTTTCTTCCAAGTGCAACAACCTTCTCAAACAGAAGTGTATGGCCTGTAGGAGGAAGGGGTATTGGTAAACATTTCCTTTCATACTCTGCCCATGAGTAAAATTCCTTTGAAGACCTTTAGTACAGAATGAGTATCCTTCTTCCAGATTTCCAAAATACAAAATACTCCAAAATTGTCCACATAGATAGTTGAAATAATGACACCTATGTATACCAACTTTATTTCATGCACAAAAGTATTTGAAATGCTGCATAAAATTAGAATCATAGAATGCTAGAGTTGGAAAAGACCTCATGGACCATCCAGTCCAACCCTCTGACAAGTAGGAAAATTGCATTCAAACCTCCCTCGACAGATGGCCAGCCAGACTCTGTTTAAAAGCCTTCAAAGAAGGTGCCTCCACCACACTCCAGGGCAGAGAGTTCCACTTCTGAACAGCTCTCACAGTTATTCAGGTGGAATCTCCTTTCCTGTAGTTTGAAGCCATTGTTCCGTGTTCTGGTCTCCAGCAGAAAACAAGCCTGCTTCCTCCTTCCCTCACATATTTATACATGGCCCTCATCATGTCTCCTCTCAGCCTTCTCTTCTTCAGGCTAAACATGCTCAGCTCTTTAAGCCGCTCCTCATAGAGCTTGTTCTCCAGGTCCTTGATCATTAGTTGCCCTCCTTTGGACACATTCCAGCTTGTCAACATCTCGCTTCAATTGCAGTGCCCAGAATTGAACACAATGTGGTGTGACCAAGGCAAAATAGAGGGGTAGCATGACTTCCCTGGATCTAAATATTATATTCCTATTTATGCAGGCCAAAATCCCATTGGCTTTTTTAGTTGCCGCATGACATTGTTGGCTCATGTTTAACTTGTTCCCTACAAGGACTCTAAGAACTTTTTCACACGTACTGCTCTCAAGCCAGGCATTGTCCCCCATTCTGTATCTTTGCATTTCATTTTTTCTGCCTAAGTGGAGGATCTTGCATTTGTCCCTGTCGAACTTCATTTTGTTAGTTTTGGCCAATCATCTCTATAATCTGTTCAGATTGTTTTGAATTCTGCTCCTCTCTTCTGGAGTATTGGCTATCCCTCCCAATTTGGTGCCGTCTGCAAACTTGATGATCCTGCCTTCTAACCCTTACTCTAAGTCATTAATAAAGAGGTTGAACAGGACTGACACCAGGACAGAACCCTGCTTATGGCACTCCACTTGTCACTTCTTTCCAGGATGAAGAGGAAGCATTGGGGAGAATCACTCTTTGGGTTCGTTCACTTAACCAATTACAGATCCACCTAACCATAGTTTTGCCTAGCCCACATTTGACTAGTTGCCTCCATATATAAGATGTAAATAAAACATAATTAGATTCAATGTTTAGATTTGATTCCACTTCCAAGTTTTCATGTATATTCAGATATAGGTATTCCAAAATCCAAAAATATTCATAACTCGTCTTTTTCCAAGCATTTCTGATAAGGGACATTCAACTAGAATTAGCCTAAGCCCAAGCCATTGTTTTTAATGAAGAAAATAGGCTAACTGCGGTTGGAAAAATACTTAATGCTTGATTGGAGCTGATATATACACAGATTTCTTTATTTGTGTTAATTTATCAACTGCTTGTCATTTAAGGGAAAAATCATGAGCTGTATAAGAAGAAATAAGATCACCAAATGAGAAGGGGAAAATAAGCCCATACAAACTACAAAAAACAATCACATTATGAAGCCCTTAGCTGATAATTTAATCAAGGGATGCTTGCTTGAATAGAAATGTCTTTAGCAGATGCTGGAAGCAAAGCAGCGTTGGCCATGTGCCTGACCTCAGCAGGTAGGGACTTTGACAGAGCGAAAGCTGGTGCACTAAAAACTGTACTCCAAATTGATTTCAGAACAACACGGAACATCTCTATACAGAAAGACATGTTAAATGACCATCCCAGTGTGCTGGGAACAGAGCTGTAATTCCTGGGTAAATTTATTTTGAAATCTTTAGATAGAAACAAAGGATGTCTGCCATAGATGCAGGCCAAATGTCAGGAGAGAATGCTTCTGGAACATGGCCATTCAGACTGAAAAACTTACACCAACCCAAAGGTGAGAAGGTGCATCAGACAATGCTGTGGATATTGTCCATCTCTCAATCCAAGCCCTGAAACTCACCTTGAAATATGGGTATCTCTCTTGAGTTCTGTGGGCTGGAAAGCAAGGTGCTTAAGGTTGACACACCTGCCTGTTTTCATCCAGTAAGTGGGTATCCATCTAGCAGAAGCAAGGATCTCTATGGGGTCTTATTAAAACTCCTTGTTGTACCATCACTCTGGTGGGAAGTGGCTAGATCTATCATCCTTCACCACTTCAAAGAGCTAAGTAGGGTTTGGGGTAGCGTTTCTCAACCTGGGAGTCAGGACCCCTGGGGAGTCACGAGGGGGGTGTCAGAGGGGTTGCAAAAGACCATCAGAAAACACAGTATTTTCTGTTGGTCATGGGGTTTTGTGTATGAAGTCTGGCCTAATTCTATTGTTGGTGGGGTTCGGAATGTTCTTTGATTGTCGGTGAACTATAAATTCCAGCAACTACAACTCCCAAATGTCACAATCTATTTTCCCCAAACTCCACCAGTCTTCACATTTGGGCATATTGAGTATTCGTGTCAAGTTTGGTCCAGATCTATCATTGTTTGAGTACACAGTTCTTTCTGGATGTAGGTGAACTACAACTCCAAAATTCAAGGTCAATGCCCACCTTCCAGTATTTTCTGTTGGTCATGGGAGTTCTGTATGCCAAGTTTGGTTCAATTCCATCATTGGTGGAGTTCAGAATGCTCTTTGATTGTACCTTAACTATAAATCCTAGCAACTACAACTCACAAATGACAAAATCAATTCCCTCTAACCCCACCAGTAATAAAATTTGGGCGTATTGGGTACTTGTGCCAAATTTGGTCCAGTGAATGAAAACACATCCTGTATATCAGGCCTAGCTTACCTGTCCAAATGCATCCTCTGCTATGAACCATCACAAAGTCTAAGATTGACGGGAGAGGCCCTGCTCTTCGTCCCACCATCATCGCAAACGTGACTGGTGGAGATGAGAGACAGGGCCTTCTCAGTGGTGGTCCCTCACCTGTGGAACCCTCTACACAGTGACATTAGATTGGCCCCCTCCCTCTTATCCTTGAGAATGAAACTCAAAACTTGGTTATGGGACCTAGCGTTCGAACAATAGAGACAGCGATTTAGAATGAGACCCAATTTGTGTGAATGACAATGGACTGACGTGGACTATGATTTAAAATCTGCATAATT